CCCTGCAAGCCTGTCCCCTACACTACTCCCCTCCCCGCAAGTCTTCAGCACACAGTCGCTTTCCCTCTCTGGATCTAAAATTCCCAGCTGCTCCATCGCTCCACATCATCATCTCTGGCTCCATTTCAGGCATCATTGCTTCTCTGGGTAGGGTCCCACTCTGGGCTCTTCTCTGTTGATGGTCCTAGGGACCTCCGCTCCTAGCCTGGAAAGTTAATCACACCTTTCCTTGCTATAAAACGTCTACCTTTACATTTCCAACCCTCACAGTCAGTCCTGGTAACAATTATTCACTATTGTATCACAAGAGACCCATCTGCATTTTATTTCATCAGCTCCGCCTAGACAGACTGGATACTTTTCACTGAAGATTCTGCCTTCCTCCAAGCCCCCTGGCTCTAGGTTCCCTCTTGAAAGCTTGTAAGCCAGTCACTTTTTGCCTTTGTAGCTCCACCACCCCACCCCACCCCACCCCCCGCCATTTTGGGTAGCCATTGTTCAAGTTGCCCATCCCTGTCTACTCTGTGTGTGGAGGGGGTGGGAATGATTCTTGCTATAAGGATTCGTTCCCTCTTTTGAGCTACTGCATCCATAGGTATAGGTCAAGTTCATCAAATTGTATCAGATTATTTTTTTTCCTCTTCTTTTCCTTCTTTCTTGTCTTCTTAATGACCTTTTGCTTTTTTCCTATATGATCTTGATGTCATTTCACAACTCTTCTGATCTTCGTCCTTAGTATTTAATGCATGAAATCTGTTCTTGAGAGGATCTCTAAATTCAGGTAGATTATGGTCAAGGTCATATTTTGGCTCTCGTAGACTTGTTTTAATTTTGTTCATCTTCAGCCTGAACTTGCATATGAGCAGTTGATGGTCAGTTCTGCAGTCTGCAAACTGACCTTGTATTTGCTGATGATATGGGGCATTTCCACTGTCTCTTTCCACTTATATAGTCAGTTCAGTTTTTTTGTATCCCATATGGTACGGTTCATGTGTCTTTTATGTTATTTTAAAAAGTTATTTGCAAGGAGTAAGTCACTGGGTTTGCAAAATTCTATCATATGATCCCCAGCAGCATTTCTGTCACCAAGGCTATGTTTTCTAACTACTGATCCTTTCTCTTTGTTTCCAACCTTTTGCATTCCATTCACCAGTAATTATCAATGCATCTCAATTGCATGTTTGATCAATTTCAGACTGAAGTTGATAGAATTCTTCAAAGTCATCATCACTGGCTTTAGTTATTGGTGCATAAATTTGAACAATAGTGGTATTAAGTGGTCTTCCTTGTAGGCATATGAATATTATTCTATCACATACAGCATTTTATTCAAGATAGAACTTGAAATGTTCTTTTTGATGATGAATGTGTCTTTGTTATTCAGTTTGTCATTCCTGGCATAGTACACCATGATGGTTTTATTCAAAATGGCCAATACCAGTTCTTTTCAGCTCAACAATGCATCAATCTTTATGCATTCAATTTTTGACAACTTCCAATTGCCCCAGATTCATACTTCATACATTCCATTAATGAATATTTACAGCTGTTTCTCTTTATTTTGACTTGTGCCCCATCAGCCAATGAAAGTCCTGAAAACTTCATTTGCTGTATCATGGTCAGGTTTACTTTGAGGAAGCAGCTCTCCTCCAGTTGCATTTTGAGTACCTTCCAACTTGAGAGGGTCATCTTCCAGCAATGTATCTGACAATATTCTGGTGCCATTCATGATGTTTGGAGTCCAGGTATGGTGCTGCAGGATAATGTGCTAGATTTGAAGGTTGGTGTGAACTGCAAGGTTGGTGGTTAAAACTCACAAGCCACTCCTTGGAAACCCTATACAGGGTTGCTGTGAGTTGGAACTGACTTGACGGCACTTAACAATTCATAATGTTTTCATTTTCCAGTACTGTAACTGACATTGTTCTGCTTCTATTCATAAGGTTTTCAGTGATTAAACATTCCAAAGCAGCCCGCCTCTCCTTCTTTCTAGTCTTAGTCTAGAAACTCAGCTGAAACTCCATCGTGGGTGACCCTACTGATACTAAGATACCAGTGACATAGCTTCCAGGGACATGCAGGTCACCACAGTAAGGCAAACTGACAGACTGAGTGGTGCTCTGTTGTGGTAGAGCATCTCATTTCATCAGCATCTCCAACCAATCCAATAACACTTAGTACCAAGCTCTAAAGACAAGGGCTAGGCAGATTATGCATGAGTAAAAGGGGCTGACGGCTATGTCTAGGTATACTTGGATAGCTGGAGACTGCAGTCTAACTGGGACACACGAAGGTGTAACTGGTGTACAGCTGAAAGTTCTCAAAGTGCAGCTGGTACTCAGCACCCATCTCTTACTACCATAAGAAAGGAGGCCAGCGTTATCAGATGTATTTCTTAGCATCATGTAATCTTCCCAGCACTCCTCTGAAACATGGTGAGGATAAGTGACTTGCACACGCACCATGTGTGCCTCCAGGATTTGAAGTCCATGTGACTCAGGAGCCAGAGCACCAGCCATTTTGTTAAACTGCCCAACAGAAATGCAGCTCTAGAACCCAGTGGTTATCTTTGAGTGGGACCACTGTGGAGGATTTTTCCCAAATTTCTAAAATGAATGCATAATCCTTGTGTGGAATGGGAAAAGAATATAGATGTGAATGGTTGTACAACTTAAAAGACTGTGATCCGTCTCTGTAATGTACTTGTAGAGGTTGTTGAACTGGTATGTGTTGTGCTGTATTATAAACAACAAAAAAATGAATTTTTAAAAAGTTTAATGCAGCCATCAAGTTTTTGGTGAGAAATTTAAGATCTAGAAAGATCATACTTGTTCAAGACCATGCTGTTTTGTGTTTAAGAATTTTCCTAAGGCCACACTGTTGTCAAGTGGCAGATCCTGCAATGGATTCCAGCTTTCTCCTTTTGAAACCACGAATACTGTCTCAATCTTGGGACTGGGTATCAAAGACATAGAACGTGCCGTCTTAAAAGAATCTTATTAGTGAAACATACAGTTGACAAAATGATGAAAACTTTTTAGATATTATCTACCCTCTTGAATTGCTGGGCCTGGGGGCTCAGGACCATAGTCTCAGGGGACACCATTGTCTCTCCATGTGCAGAAGAAAGAAGAGTGATGAAAATTGAAGATGCTTGCTCAGTTAGTTCATGTGACATCAGTCTCCATGATGCTGAGACCAGAAGAGCTACATGGTGCCCAGCTACCACTACCAATTGCTCTGAAAGGGATCACATTACAAGGTCCCAGATACAGTGAAAGAAAATCTGGAACAAAACTGAAAATTAAAAAAAAAAAAGACCAGACTTACTGGTTAGAAATAGACTGGAGGAAGCCAAGACTATGGCCCTCAATCACCTTTCACATTTAGAAAGTAACTAACCCTCTTGGCCCAATGTTCATCCAAGCAGCCGCTAGGTTTACGGGGACATGGGGGTGGGGAGATAACTAGTAAGGTATGCTGACCACATAATGGTCAGTCATGCAAAATCAAATGGACATTTATGTAAAGACAAAGTTAAGAAGGAATGGGAAGGTGGGTGGAATGGAAATAAGAACCACAAGGAGAAAGCGGGTTGTTTTGATGCATGAAGATTATAATCATTGAAGTAAAACAAAGTATGATTTGTTGAATGTAAAACTGATGTTTGTAAACTTTCACTCAATCTTTAATAAATTTTAAAAAAAACAAAAACATCTTGTTCAAACTTAGCCCCTACATGCAGTCTTTGACCACATGCTCATATCATAGTCATGCCTTTGTCATGGTACATAGGCCCCGTCAGGCTCAAGTCTCATCTGTAAGCCCCCTAATCAGTGATGTGGCAGACTGCTTAATTTGTAGCCCATGTATTTGGGAGCAGGCTTAGACTTCTCGTGCACTTTTAATTAAGCCTTAGTGGTGAAGCCTGTATATGGTCAGCCTTCTGGTGGTAGGCTTTACCAGTTTGCTATCTGGATTCTAGTGAAGCTGCTAGGCCCAGAGAACAGTAGGGGATTCTTAAGATGTCCGTGTTCTATCTTGCTCCATGGTAGGCATTTTTATATCCACAAAGGTAGCCGTGTTATGTGCCAGTTGCTTCTGACTCATAGCTACCCTGTAGAGTTTCCAAGGAGCATCCAGTGGGTTTCAACTGCTGACCTTATGGTTCTCAATGCTTACAATACAGTGCCATACCAGGTGGCTTTAGTATTTAAAAAAAATAATAAAAAGCTTGTCATCGGGGTATAAGACCTGGGCTCAGATCCCAGTTGTCATAGATGACCAAAGACCCTTCAACAAGTCATTTACGACCACTCTTGAGCAAGATATTCCTTAATTCTGCTTAGGATTCTAGCCTCCTCTGAGCAAGCCAGACTGCTGCCCTGCTATAAACTCAGCACTTCCGAGTGTGCTGGGATCAGACAGTTCAAACCCACCAGCTCCTATGAAGATTTATGGTTTCAGAAACCCTAAGATGCAGTTCTACACTGTAGTGAACCAGTAGAGGGTTTCCAAGGAACGGCTGGTGGATTTGAACCACCAATATTGCAGTTAAACAGTTCAGTGCTTATCCTACAGCACCACAACAGGACTCCACACTGCCCTTTAGCAATCAACTTGATGGTGGCAGGTTTGGTTTGATCCAACTAAAGCCTGTCTGCTCTTTAGCAGTAATGGGGGCATCCCCTAGTCTGAGTACATGCTCCCCCCAACCCAGGCTGGGTTAGGGGTGGGGTGCCTGTTTGTATTCCCTTGGTAGGCTGTTTACCTATTGTTTAACATTGTCTATACCAAAAAGAATTTACCAATAGTGGTCATCCAGTATTTGCCAATCCAGAGGAATTTGGAAAATTCTATAATGTTAGTGTGTTGGGCCATAGTTTCTATCTTCCATCATTAACCCTAACTCAATAGGTAACTGCTCTCATTCTTGACCCTTCTCCAGTATGCCTTTGAAGCCCTCCTCTGAGATAACCTCAAGATTCTGGGTTTTTTAGGTGCCTCTACCTGAGATCTGATGATGTGATAGAAGGCAACTGTGCTGAAAAAGTGCTACAGAACTCTCATCGGGTTATGGAGGAGTATTTTGTGGCCCCTCCAGGTATGTGTTACCCAGAGTGGCTCACATAGGTATACCTGAGGTAAGGAAAAAAGAACTATGAAGATCAAATGAGCCAAGTATAATGTGTAAACAGATGGCAGCGTGTTGTTAGCCACTGGCCCTAGTCAGCTCAGAGTTGACCTCTTTGATCAAGACTAACCAGATTAAGGATATGCTCTAGTTAAAGCAAAGATGGAAAACTAGAAAATATGATTCACTAAACTATCCCAGTTAACTGTGGACAGACCTTTTAAAATTGCTTCATCCCAAGTTGACACTTAGCTTATGTATCCAAACCATGGTCTTCAATAACCTCTTATGCATGCTGAAAGTTGGACAGTGATTAACACTGTAGAATTGATACATTGAGTTATGGTGTTGGGGAATATTGAATATGGACTGCCAAAAGAACCGACCAATATATGCTGGAAGAAATACAACCTGGATGCTCCCTTGGAAACCAGGATGGCCAGACTTTGTCTCTTAACACTTCAGACATATTATGAGGGACCAGTCCCTGGAGAAGAATACCATGTTTGTTAAAGTGGAGGGTTGGAGAAAAAGAGGAAGACCCCCAAGATAGGTTGACAAAGTGGCAGCAGTAGCAATGGGCTCAGGAGTAGCAATGAATGTGGAGAACCGGGCAGTGGTTTGTTCTGTTGTGCATGAGTCAGTACCGGCTGGATGGCACTTGACAACAGTGGATACATCCATCTCACATAGAATCTCTTGGCTGCCTAGGACAAATAACTTGGCGTTCCTTCCATCTTTAGATCCATGTGTATGGTCAATTAGCCTGTTCTTTGATTTATTAAAAGGATACATTCAGTTTCACTTAAAACTGTGACTCTTCCAGATTCCTCAGCCTTAGGAAAAAAGCTAGTAGCTACACATACTGCCCATGGCAAATCAAGTGATTAATTCATTGAAGTCAGTTGGGCAGCAGGCTCAGCTATAATGTTCTTTTTTTGCTATTGTCTTCAAACAGGTAATATCTCTTTGGCAAAGGTGGATGAATGCGAGCCCACCCCATGTGACTGAAAAAGTAATATCCTTCAAACACTGACATCCCTACTTCCTTGGATCACTGGACAAAAATGAATGCAAAAGTGTTCTTGTTTTTTTAAGTAACTGATTCTTCTGGAGGTAGAATTGGGGGCAGTGTAGCTCAAGGGAGGTGATGAATTCCTGATGCTAGTGAAGTGAAAGGCCTTGTGAGATCTGGAGGAAAAGAAATCCAAGTGTTTGCTTACAAACCTATTCACTCCAAACCTATATGACTTCCCCTGCAAAAAAAATGATGTACATAAAACCTCATTTAAGTTTTCTCTCTTTATGTAACTGGTAGCCAGAAATTTTGATCGCTATGTGACAACCTAAGTTATTATTTTTACTTGTTTTGCCCTGTGCAAGATAGCCTAACAAATTTCAGTACTCACTTGGTTCTAAACAGAAGTCTTAATTTTTACTAAAGCCTGAGAACTATTCTAAGTAGACTATGTTGATCACGTGCAAAAGGATATTAACCATTTAATAGTTTCTCTCTGAAAAGAGAATTAAGGTCTAGGATAGAGCAGACCCTGCTCCCATCTCCCTCATCCCTGCAGTAACTCCAAAATTGTAATGAATCCAAAATGATGGTGTTTGTTGAGAAGGTTGGATGCCGAGGATCAATGAGACAGACCTAGAGGCAAAAGTGAAAGAGCCTGAACTTGAGACTTTTTTTCCCTAAGCAATTTGCCAAAATTGGTTTTGACTAAGACTACCCAATGATATTTGTGCTGCTCCTCATTAAGGGGGGAAAAAAAGTAGAGAGGCTGTTTTGATTCTTCCCATTTCCTATCAGAAATGTTTCCTTACGATTAGGGCTGCTAACCTCAAGGTCGGCAGTTCTAAACTACCAGCTGTTTCGCGGGAGAAAGATGAGGCTTTCTGCTCCCGTAAAGATTTGCAGCCTCGGAAACCCTGTACAGGGTCGCTATGGGTCAGAACTGACTCGACGGCACTTAACAACAACAACCCATATCAAGCTAGACAATGAGTACAGGGTCCAGTGCTTATTCTACACTGCCACTAGGACTTCTTACAACTCAGTAAGTAAATAGTCTTTCTAAAAATCAGCGTAACCTGTTTGGGAAAATCTGAACTTAATCAAGGACAACCACACATGTCATTACTAAACGTTTAAAATATATTTCTAAACAGAACGGGCCAAGTCCCTCAGTCACTGCTGATCTCCATAGTAGAGCAACCCACACAAAGACCCAGCACTGATTTCCTTCCCATTATTAGGGGTGAAAAATAGACAACTTGTTTCTGAACCAAAACCACAATTTCAGCAGTTTACAATGTTTCACTGCTATTATGGCCCTGGTAGAAATGATGTAGTTTTTTTGCTTTTATTTTTCCTTAAAAAAAAAAAAAAAAAAAAAAATTAAAAAAATTTCCTAAGACACTAAATCATCAATCTGGAATGTAGATTCTGAGCACAAAGCAGCTCAGTTCACACTAAAAAATAAAGAACAAATTCCCATCGCCTGTTGTTTCAGTAGGGCCTGAAAGGAGAGTAGTAGTGTGGGGAACCCCTGCTTTGGTATGGAGAGTCACGGCCCCTAGACCCAGACCGAGACCGTGAATAGCCATAGCTGGTGCTTCTCTCTGGATAAACTCGGATGTAAGATGTTTCACCCTGAAATTCAAAAAAAAAAAAAAGGGAGGAAAAAAGTTTAAGAGACAGAGAAGGAAAAAAGGCAGACCAATACTCAAAATGGCTAATAATAGTGAACTCTGAGCATGTGCCTGGCATGGTACTTTATGTGAATTAGCTTGTCCGACCCATAAAAATCATACTACAAGGTAGGTGCCCTTAGGTGTACCCCCATTTCAGAGAGAGAGCAGTTGACAACAGTAAGTGGCAACCTGGTATGTGATAAATGCTCAAATAGTTAAGTGTTAATAACAGCATCCAAATTACTGCTATTGACTCCAAAACTGAAGAACTAGAAAGCTTCTCAGGTCTGTTTCTTACTACCTCATCTACACCTCTTTGGAGGAGGCCCTAGGATGGCACTGAGCTACAGCAACACCTCCCACGTGTCAGGACTTGGGATACTCTTGTTATCACAGTTCTGTCAGTTATGGCATTCTTGTGGCCATTTTGCATATAGAGGAACGGAGTAGCTTGGCTAAGAAATTACTAAACTGGCAGGAGCTGGGTCCAGTTTAGCCTGTCTCCAGACCCTTTGTCCTCAATGAGCAATCTCAGAAGATCTACAGATGTTGTAAGGGAAAAGCATGTGCTTTTTCCCTAGATGAACTCAGTGATAACAAGATTTACAATACTCAGGCCCTCCTTTGCAGTGTAACTGAAAGCCAGGGCTGACACTTTTGGCTCTGAAACTAAGTCCTATAAGATCATGTGAATACATACACAGTGAAACCATACACAGACCATTCTCCCAGTCATAAAACCCACCCACCATCTCCAGACAAGCCTAGTCATGGCAGGATAATCAGTAAAAGAATTTCCTATTGGTGGTTTGAGAGTGCAGTGACTCAGTAGAATAAGCACTGTACTGTGATCTGTAAGGTTGGTGGTTTGAGATCTGCTACTCTGTGGGAAAAGGCTTTCTGCTCCTGCTAAGTTTTTTTTTTTTTTAAGCCCTGGAAACCCTGTATAGGGTGGTCATTATGCATTGGAATCAACTTGATGGCACTTAACAACTGGTGGTTTGGAGTCAGGTCTAAATGGTGTCTAATAATCAGCACTGGAATCCAATGGAGAGATACCAAACAGTAGTGTCTTCCTAAAAGGAAGGACATCAAGAACATGGCAAGCTGGCTCAGGTCTCCAAGAGGATCCTACACTGTTTTGGGAAAGGACAAGTGAAGCAACAACTCAGGGACAGGCAGAGCTAGAAGGGCTGAGATGATGGAGTGTCCCGGAAAGCCCAATCTGGACCCAGGAGGGCAGCCATATTGGTTATGCTCACTGGAGGATCCTGCAGAATGAGCCAGTTGTGAAACAGTGATAAGAGCTGCCATGCCAGCCAGAGGTGGAGTACCCTGGGCTCAAGCCCCTCAACATGAAGTAGGGACTCACCTCATGAGAGCGGAATTTGGTGTCATCCAGTTTACGCAGGGCATATTCCATATCTTCTTTTCGGAGATATTCAACCATCCCCATTCCATCTTTCTGCACATCTGCATAACAGACATCCCCAGCTTCTCGCATGTGATCCTTCAGGTCCTGCCAGCTGCCTGATGGAGGAAGTCCTAAGCACACAGAACATAAAAAGGCTACATCTTTTAACCATTCTGTCAGAGTCAGAATCCCTTCTCTGTCAATCATCACTTTTAAATCTTGACAATCATAGTCATATCAGTCTTGGTGGTGATGGTTAAGTGCCATCGAGTCGGTTCCGACTCACAGTGACTCTGCTGTATAGGGTTTCTGAAGAGTGGCTGGTGAGTTTGAACTGCTGACCTTGTGATTCAAACCGACCTTGAGGTCAGAGTGCTTATCCTAAGGTGCCACACCAAGACTCTATAAATCTTGGTAAGAGACAGGACATCAGAAAAGAACATTAAAGGTATGTGCAAGTAAACCACCTTAAGAAGCTGCTCCTAAGTTTATCTTCCAGAGGCAAAGGCTTTCTACAACTGTCTATAAGAAGTCCAGTCCTTTATAGATTCGGTATCTGATAATACATAACCTCTCTCTGTCATTCATAATACATACTAACTCCTAAGAATCAGAGTGCTAATGGATTCCTTTGTGAAATTTACCAGCACTGTCACGAAATTATCAGTATGATTTTCTTGTCTCACTGGATTCCTAAGACATGGAGACTTTGAAACTAGTCTACGAAATCTGTAAGGTATAGTTGAAGGTAACAGCCCATCACCAACAAAATTTAAAGGGAGTTCTCTTAAAGGTATGAATGACTGACAAACTAGTCCAAACCAGTTATCATCGAGTAGATTTCAACTCATCTTTCTCCCAGGGAGCAGCTGGTAGTTTTGAAGGACTAACCTTGCAGTTAGTAACCCAAAGCACCACCTGGGCTCCTTAAAGGAGACAAAGTATGTCCTAAAAGATCACCACCATTTTTCAGTACAGTGGAGGGAAAGGTGAGGCGCAGAGCTAAAGCTAGTTGGGGATCACCGAACCCTACCTGAAGTCAGGAAAGGGAATGTGCTCCTGCTTTCACAGGCTGTGTTTAGCGCTCACAGCTCAGGACTGCAGCCATTTCCTACAGTTTTCTAAGCAGAAAGTCAGAGCAGCATGGAGAGAGAGAAAAAGGTATGTATGGAATCCCATAAAAGGGAAGAGAGGGGCTGGGGTTAAAAAATATTACAAAGAGATACAAGAAAGGCACATACACGGGTATTACTCCAAAGCACTTTTATGGACTGAATTGTACCCCCCAAAATAGGTGTGGTAAACCTCCATGCCTGTGGTTATCCCATTTGGGAACAGGTTATCTTCTTTATGGAAATGAGGCAGGATTAGTGTAGGGTGTGTTTTGAATCCATCTCTTTTGAGATATTGAAGGAGAGAAGTAGAAATGGGGGGAAAAGACATGTCCAACCCCATGAATATGGCCCAGGAGCAGAATCTTAAAGAGGCAAGGACCTTACCCCAGAGCAAATGGTGGTAGTGATAGTAGTGTGCCCAACTCATAGCAACCCGTATAGGGTTTCTGAGGCTATACATCTTTATAGGAACAGAAAGCCGCATCTTTCTCCCAGGAAACGGCTGGTAGTTTTGAATTGCTGACCTTGAGGTTAGCAGCTGAACTCGTAATCACTACACTACCAGAACTCCTTCCAGAGCCAATAGAGAGAGAGAACCTTCCCCTAGAGTCAGCACCCTGAATTAGGGCTTTCAACCTTCAAAATGGAGAGAATAAATTTGTTTGTTAAAGCCACTCATTTATAGTATTTCTGTGATAGCAGCAATGGAAAACTAAGCCAATCACCATAAAAAAAATCCCCACATGGCTGTAATTGGATTTTTAAGAGTGACACATCTGGAAAACAAAACAACAAAAAAACCCAGGCTCCCTCAATACATTTCACTCCACCGTGGCCTTAAAACTCACCCTGCAATGTGCAGAAGGTCCCATCTATGTACCAGTGTGTTGACATTTCAGTAAGATAAACTTAGACATTCCATCATTTGTAAACACTACACATTTTATTCTATTCTCCTTCTACAGACTCCAATTTGCCTTTTCCATGATCTAAACCTGGTTAAGTTGTTCATATATAGTCTGGCACTAAAATCCATTCCAAAAGAAAATGTTCAAATTCCAATTCAAAGGGGTTTACTATAACGTTCTCACCACGAGAAAACAAAGAAGTATACGTATGTTTTACCAAGGTTGCACTAGCAAGGCAGTTTCAGTCCCAAGATACCTGCCTCTTGGCAACACCACATACTTAGTCTTTAGAAAGCTAGCCCCATATATACATGCACTAAAGAATAAGCTAACATTTCTCTCTTCCAAGTGTTTCCCTGCATCATCTCAATTTGAAAGAAACATACCTGAAACAAGAACTCGGAAATCAGATCTTCTGGTAGGAGGCCCATTCCTCCCACCACGGGGCCACCCACCCCGACCTCCGTAGGTCCGGGGAAACTCCACACGAAGTCGACACTGGCCATAATCATAACCATTCCTTCCATAAATTGCATCTTCAGCATCTCTGCAAAGAAGTTTATAGTTAGTGATACCCAGGAGGCTAGCTGACTTTGGCTTAAATATAAGGAAACCTCAGAGTCAAACAAGAAAACAGGATCTTTGCTATTGCTATTATGTGGTCCTATGGATTGGACTACTCTCTGAAGACCTTTCAAGACACTCATGTTAAACTTTACAAGTGTCATACATAGGGCATTCTAGGTATGAAATGATAATGGTTTATTTACAAGATGGCTAATTTTTTTAAAAGATGGAAAATTATCAATAGGAAGATGTTGCCAAAAAGTGTGTTTCCTTCATCTTGGTGATTGTTAAGTCAGTTCCAACTCATATTGTCCCTGTATACGATTTTCAAGGAGCAACTGGTGGGTTTGAACTACAGACCTTGCAGATAGCAGTCCAGTGCTTATCCTACAGTGCCACAACAGGACTCTACACCATTTGCTAACCCCCTATGATTCTCCCACAAGGTCTAGTACCATACTGTCTATATGGAAAAGAAAATCCCATTAAAAAATAAGTGAGACTGAAAAGATGGGTGTTTTATGAGAAATATGGAATTTGCAGTTCATTTCTATAAGCTCATAGACTATTTTCCCTAAGGCTGTGGGGGAGTCTTGGTGTGGCACTGGAGGTAAGCACTGGACTATTAACGGCCATTCCTAGAAAACCGTATACAGGGTAGTTATGAGAACCAACTCAATGAGACTTAACAAGAAGACCATGGAAGTTAGGGTTGCCAAGTTGGTTCGTTGGTTCTCTGACGTTGGATGGTGGATGAACAGGCCCAGGGTTTGGTGGTCAAGCACAGATGATGATCTGCTAATGTGGGCATTATTGTCACAGGCATGGACTCAGTCATAAAACCCTGGCTGCATTTATAGTGCAGTAGGCGAGAGACAGAACCCTTGGCTTTCAGAGCAGACTTCAAATAAAAATTGACCTGAGTTCAACTTATGCTTACTAGCAGCAGTAAGGTTTTTCTCTCTCAGTGTGAGCAGTACGTCTATCACACAGGGTTACTAAAGATTAAGATACTCTATGCACAGGGCTTTGGTTGGAAGTAATATAAAAAATAGCTGTTCTATTATCTACGGAATGAGGAAAGAAGAGGTGACAATGTAGCATACAATCCAAGCTTGTATTCAAAGGGCAGAACAGCTAGCTGGGTTCAAAGCCTACCTTGATCCTTTACCAGCCTAGTCTTTTCTACCAATTTTTAAAAAAATCAATTCTTTTAACCCAGTTTCCTCTTTTATACAATACAGGTTAATAGGACCTACCTTATATGTTGTTGAAACGACTAACAATATACACAATGGTGTTTGACACATAACTGTTCAAAAACACACTGGTGGCATGGTTACTAATTAATAGAGGCAACATTTTCCAATGTAAGTTTTAAAAACGGCTAGTTCCACTTTTGAGGCAAATGGCAAGCCATTAGGATGAGCTGTCTTTAGCCACTGCAAAGCCTCAGACTGCTTCCTGTCCAACACTCCCTCAAAGTCTCTGGAAGTGCGGACTAGGTAAGGAGATCCCTGAAAGGAGGCTGGAAAACAGCGGGCGGGTTCCCATGCACCCCAGTGGAGTGGCTCACACAGTGCAGTAATTTCTAAGATTTATTCACGGCAGTTTTGAAAGTTCCTGTACCTTTTCCGGCCTGAGGGCGACAATACTGACAACCAAGCCGCCTTTAAGCCTGTTTGCGGGCAGAATTTCCCAGTCCCTGGGGTCCCTTTTAGCACCGAGTGGTGCCTCCCTCAACAGCGACGGGCGACATCGCAGACCCCCCTTACAATGTTCTGTAAGTTCTCCCAAATCCTCGATCCTTCGCTAAGAAGGCCTTGGCCTTGAAGGGCGGAGGGCGCGCGCGGGTAGACATGTTTCATCACAAGAGCCCTCGACGATTTCCAAGAGAACCCCTGTCCCCGCAGCCTGTTCCCCTCTCTAACGGCGAGTTCGGGGGTGGGACGTGCAGGGAGGACGCGGGGTGATCGCGGCTCTTCCGTGAGTCACGGTCTCTCCGCGGCCGCCTGGGCGCCGCGAGGTGTCCGGGCCCGGGGCCGCTTCCCGCTCGGGCTGACTCCCAGCCGCGGGGAAGGTGTGGGAATCCCAGCCTTCAACGATGACCCTTCAAAGGCCCAGCTTTTGTTTTTTAAGTTAAGAAAAAAAACCCACCCAACTACAATAAAGGAAGTGACGACGAAGCAAAGAGCGGCCTGAAGCCTGAGGAGAAGGGAGGCCTCACCGCCCCCCACCCGGGGGCGCCATAAGGGGTCTGGGTGGAAGGGGGAGGGGAGGTCCGGGAAGGGAAAAGGGAGGCGGGGGCCTGGGGCCGGCGGGAAGGCGGGCGGCGGGGACTTACCGGGGATCCTCGAAGCGCACGAAGGCGAAGGGCACGAGGCCGTGCCGGTTCTTGAGCTCGATCTCGCGGATGCGGCCGTACTTGTAAAACAGGTCTTCCAGGTCCTTCTCGCGCACGTCGGTCGGAAGGTTCCCCACGTAGATGCGCCCGTCGCCCTCGCCGCCGCGCTCGTCCGCCCAGCCCGACATTCGCCCAGCCCGACGCCGCGGGCCCGCCGCAGCCCACGTCGCCGCTGCCGCCGCCGCCCCAGCCCAGGTCCCCCGCAGCGTTCCGCGGGCTCGAAGGCGCTCAGCCGCACTGCATTGTGGGAACGCGGAGCGGAAGCTCTGGGGTCGGAGGCGGCAAAAAGAATCCTCTTAAAGGCAACGCGAGTGCGATGACTACGCCTGTGCAGTGCCGGCGCCCCCTGTGGAAAAACAGAGAAAACAAGGTGTCCGACTATTGGGGTTCAATTCCCGCACAACAACTCTGAAGTCAGGAAAGTGACTTGCACTCCTTTTTCCTCTCTGTAACGCTGATTTTTTAGCTTTCACTGAGATGACGCGGGTAGCGCCTCAGAACAGCCCTGTGGACCATCACTTTAAGTGCGGGGCGTCTGAGAGAGGGAATCAGGCCGGGGCTGCAGGCTGAGCCCGCAGCGGCGCGGAGGCCTCCCCAACGGCTGAGCTGTGGCGGCTTTCGGCTTCAGGTCAGTAGCCCTCTGGGCCACACCATCTCCATTGTACATTTTTACAATTGCTTATAACTGAGATGGACTGGAGAGCTTGCCGAAGACAAGGAGGGAATAAAAGAAATCAGTGAAACTCTGAAGTGCTTGTCACGACTCGGCCTTTTTTTCCTCCTCCAGAATTTACTGATGCCCACATTATAAGGAAAAAATTGAGGTCTCCTAGTGGAGTTGGGATTGGAACACAGTGCCATGCCCCTAACCTATGTGCTGAGTCCCTCAGACGCTGCGGCAGCCCCAGGTTTTGAACATATATCCCCAAAGCACTTTTATTTGACGTTTTTGACGCTTTCTCTATTTGCATCTGACAAGGAGCCCCAAACGGCTTTGCAGTCTGGCGCATTAACCCACAGCGCCACCTAGCAGCCTAGAAAACCCCAGGGCAGGTCTGATGTGTCACGTGGGGTCACGACGAGTTGAAAATTCCCTCCAAGGTACTGAAAGTCTTAATCTAAGGGAGAGTTTTCCTATTAAAATTGAAAAACCACTTTAGATAAATGCATAAATATACATACATATGATGGTGGTGTACTGTGGAGTCGGTTCTGACTCATAGTGACCCTGTCTAAAGTTTCTGAGGCTGTAAATGTTTACAAAGCAGAAAGCCTCATCTTTCTGCTACTGATCTTTAAACTACTGACCTTGAGGTTAGCAGTAACACACTATGCTAGCAGAGCGGACACTCAAATAGCAGAAATTTAGCTGTAGAATCTAGGTGGGGTGGTTTTGGGTGCTCCTTGTACAATTCTTTGAACCTTTCCGTATTGTTTAAAATTTTTCATAATAAAATGTTAAACACAAGCCAGTGTTTGTTTTATAAAACAAGAGCAAATTAAAACCCAAAACTACCGCTGTGGAGTCCATTCCAACTCAGTCATCTTCATGGTCTTTCTCCCAGTATCTTTCTTGTCCCCCTCCCCCTCCAAGTGAGGGATGTGACTGGTGGGTTTGAACAGTCCACTTCTCGGTTAACAGCCCAACACTTTCCCTTGTTGTTAGGTGCTGTCGAGTCATAGTGACCTTATGCACAGCAGAAGGAAACACTGCCCGATCCTGGGCCAACCTCACTATCAAAGCTTGAGTTCATGGATGCTGCCACTTGGTCAATCCATCTCGTTGGGACCGTACCTTACTGCACCTATTTTAGCAAGTTGTTGTTAAGTGCTGTTGAGTGGGGCCCAACCCATAGCGTCCCTCGGAGGAGCGATTGGTGGGTTTGAACCAGAAAGTTGGCAGTTCAAACTGACCTTCTGGTCCAGCACATTATCCTAAAGCACCACACAAATATTGAATAAGAAGGTACTTAATTTCTAGTTATATACCATCTTTAAAATTTCAAATCAAAACCAACAAGAATTTAGGTTCCCCCACAGAATAACCTATGAGTGTACCTTTTCATGCAACCTTTTTGGATGGTAAGTTGATTGTCTTCATCAAGCCCTGAAAATATGCACGTACCCCTTTAAATTGATTGTGGTTAAAAGTATACATAACAGAACATTTGCCATTCAACCATTTTTACATGTATTATGCAGTGATACTGATTACATATTGTGCAACTGTTATCACTATCCTTCTCTAAAGTTATTCCGCTAGGATTACCATAACTTCAGCACCTGCCCCCCATGCAGTCATTCCCTCTTAATGTCCTTCCACAACTTATTTCACTCCGTTTAATGATTTGAAGGCTCATCCAAGTTGTGGAATTACATCAGGATTTTTCTTAATGGCTGAGTTAGGTACTCCATTGTTTGGTGACATTTTGCTTATCCATTCATCTGTTGATGGATGTTGAATTGTTTCCACTTTTTGGTTATTGTGGAAAGTGCTGCAATAAACATTGATGTACAAGTCTCTGTTTGCATTCCTGCTTTCCATTCTTTGAGGCACATGCTGGGTCATGTAGTTGTTCTATGCTCCACGGCACCATTTTTTGCATTCCTGCCAATGATGCTTGAGGATTCTAGTTTTTCCACATTTTGGCAAACACCTGCTTGTTTTCATTTATTGATCATAGCCCTTTTAGGAAGTGATGTGATATCATATAGTGTGTGTTTTTTGTTGTGGTGGTGAAAATGTATATATTGCAAAACATACACCATCATCTCAAGCAAACAAACAAAAAAATACATCAGCTCAACAATCTATTTAGGCATAATTTAGTGGCATTGATTAGATTATACCTTCAAGTTGTGCAATTATTCTCAATATCCTTTTCCAAATCATTCCACCATGATTAACATAAAACTCAGTTCTCCCTGAGTAAAAACTCCCCTTACTCCCCATCTCACTCCTGGTAATCACTGATAATCTTTGGTTTCTAGATATTTTCTTATTTCATTTAAGTGAGATCATATAGTGTTTGTCTTTGGGTTAAGTCTGGGCGGCCAACCAAAAAGCCAGTGATTAGAACCCATCAGTGGGTCTTTGGGAGAAAAATTAGAAATCTACTTTCCTAAAAATTTGCATCCTCAAAAACCCTAGAGTAATTCGTTTCTGTCCTGTCGGGTCAGTATGAGTCAGAATCACCTTGACAGCATTGAGTTTGGTTTGCTTTTGGTTTCACTAACTTGTTTTGCTCAGCAGGGTATTTTGAAGGTTCTTGCATATTATGACATGCGTCAGAACTTCATTTTTCTTTATGGCTGAATAGTATTCCATTGCATGTGAGTAACCACATTTTGTTTACTGATCTATTGATGGGCATTTCAGTAGCTATTCCTTTTGGTTATTGTGAATATTGCGGCCATGAACATTAGTGCACAGGTTTCTGTTTGCATTCCTGCTTTCAGTTCTTTTGGATATATATATATATATACACATACCTAGGGCTGAGATTGCTGGATCACATAGTAGTTCCGTGGTTATCTTTTTGAGGAACTGTCAGACTGTTTTCCATAGCAACTGTACTATTTTATGTCCCCACCGGCAATGGATAAAGGGTTTTAGTTTTTCCACATCCTTGCCAGCACCAGTTATTTTCTGGTTTTTGTTTTGTTTTGTATTCTCTTAATAATAGTCATATAGCCAGGAGGTGATATTTCATTGTGGTTTATTTTTTCATTGTGAATTGGGTACAGGTTTACAGATCATCAGTTTTGCATTCAACAAACCATACACATTTCGTTTCATCTCATTGATTGCAATGCCTCAGTATAACATCACTTATTCCACTTCCTCCCTGTGTTTCCTGTTTTCATATCTCCTTCTTTCCTAACCCTTCTGAATTTTGTCCTTGGGTAAATGCTGCCCTTTTGATCTCAAATTGTTGATTCTTCTAAGGTTTAAGTTCCTCCCTAGTATTATCGTTCCCCTTATAGACCTGTCTATTGGTTAGCTAAAAACTGAGCCATGGCCAGGAGTTCATTTCCAGACCTGAAGGGTGACCAAGGGCCAGAGTCTGAGAGGTTACACTACTTCTGACCATTAAGGGTGGTTGTTTCTTTTATGATTTTGAGTTTCTAATTATGCTTTTGATTTGCATCTCCCCAATAATGAGGACATTGTGCTTGATAAAGTAGAGGGTCAGTGAAAAAGAGGAAGACTCTCAAAGAGATAGACTGACACAGTGGTGCAACATGCAGCCCAAACGCAGCAATGACTGTGACAATGGGGCAGGGCCGGGCAGTGCTTCGTTCTGTTGTACACGGGGTGGCTATGAGTCAGAAAGGCTTAAGAGCACCTAATATCTACAACAATAATGACTAATGAAGGAGTCCTGGTGAAGCAGTGGCTAAAGCTTTAGGTTGAGAACTGAAAGGTCAGCAGTTTGAATCTGCTTACTGCTCTATGGGGGAAATATAAGCAGTCTGCTTCTGTAAAGATTATAGCCTTGGAAACCCTATAACTCAAGCATGGCAACAGTGGTGAGGTTGGCCCAGGATTGGGCAGTGTTTTCGTTCTGCTGTGCATAAGGTCGCTATGGGTCGGTCCCAACTAGATGGCACCTAACAACAACAACTGTGCCACTCCTTGGAAACCCTATACAGGCTCACTATGGGTCGGAACCTACCCAACAGCACTTTAACAACTCTATCCTACAGGGTTACTATGAGTCACCATCAACTTGACCGCAACTGGTTTTTAATGACCAGTGACAATTGAATATTTTTTCCTTGCTTGTTGGCCATTTATATCTTTAATGTCTGTTCAAGTCCTTTGTCCATTTTTTTATTGCATTCTTTTGTTGTTGTTTTTAAGTTGTAGAAGTTTAAAAAATATTTTGGATATTAAATGCTTATCAGATACATAAACCTTTTGGTCTAGTAATTTCCACTTATACAATTTTATCATAGAAAAATGAGTAAGACTCAAGACCCAGAGAGGGAGAGCGACTGTGTGCTGAAGACCTGGGGGGCACGGGGCAAGGATTGCATGGAGGGGATTGTAACCATGGCAATGAGACGATATACGATAGAATGAATGTAAAACTAATGTTCTCCCATGTATACTATCACATAATTCACAATAAATCATTTAAGAAAAAAAAAATGAGTAAGAAATTCTCACAATTAATTGTGTATAAAGATATTCATCACTGCATTATGCACGATTAAAAGTTTTTAAATACTGATATTAAGGGTGTGGTTAAGCACTTTAATAA